AGCTCCACTCCCAACCCTCCTCTACACCTAATGCTATCTGAAGCAAAGCTGCATGAGCCTACCCACACAAACTCCAAGCAAGACCCAACCCCACTCTCTGATCTCCCCTCCCTCTTTCCAATGTATGGAGATCTTGGCTGTAGGTCATGGAAGTCTGCAACACTCTGGACAACAGAAGTTTACTGGGACTATAGCCAACTCCACAGCAAGTGGCATTCTGTACTACAAAAGATCTTGAAGAAGACCAGAAACAGAGAAAGGGGAAGAGGCAGGGTGCATGTCTGGACTCAAAATAGAGCTCAATACCACATCCTACCCTATTCCTCCCTTCCCCAAGCCTCAGAGACCCAGACTACAAAAATTGACCAGATGGTACTACTCTTTGAATTACTGGTGCCAAGCCAGAAAAGAGAGGAACAGAGAGTAAACCAGATAGGACACAGTGTGTGGGGAGTAGGTAGTGAGGCAGGGGAAGATGAGGGGAGTGTTTCTGTGTGCTACTCCATAAGCCTGAGGAAAAGTACTCAGCACCCAGCTGAGGCCAGACCTGTCCACCCAAAAAGTCATCTGAGGCAGAGACCTAGGGTGGTGGTACCATGAATTGTATAATGTGGGAGAAGACAGATGCTTTAAGATTTAGCCCCCCAGGAAACTACCATCAGAGGGGAGCATGACTCAGAAAGTAAGTAATAAGGGAAAACAAGGAAGAAAAAAGACTGAAATTACCAAAGATATCAGGAGAAAGAAAACTCAATGACTTTAAAGATAAGCAGGTTAATCAACACGGAAAAACAGCAACAACAGTAGGAAATATGTCCTCCAGATCTAATAAACAAGTTCAGGCTTCTATACATAAATATTGCAAGACGAAGGAAAATGATCCAACACTTGATGAGACAGAGGGTCCTGAAGAAAGTGAGGAGAACATGGAACAACAACACATTGTTCATGAATTTTCAAAAAAGAAATAAGAATTATGAGAGCAGAATTTATGGCCTGAACAGCAAAAATAATAAACACTATAGAAAAACTAAAATCTGTGATGTCAAGTCTCACTAAAGAAACAAAAGAGAAAACAATAAACTGGGAATGCAAATATACAAAAGTCAAAGACAACCTAGAAGAAGAGAAACAAAAAAGCAATAACATTCAAAGAAAATATGCTCACTTAGCAAGCAAAACATACTGATCTCAAAAACAGGGCACATAAAGACAACCTAAGGGTCATATGTCACCTAGAAGAACATGACAGGACAAAAGACCTTAATACTATAATGCAAGAAATAAGAGACCTGCCCAGAACTTCTGAAAATGAAAATTAAATTAAATAGACAGAAAATGAAATAATTATTTAAAAAAGATTGCCTCCAGAAAAAAAAAAACACATCCCAAGGCTGAAAACTCCAAGACACATACTGATTAAATTTAACAATTCAATTCAGAACCTAGAGGCCCTGCAAGCAAACAGGAGAAAGACTTTCAAATATAAAGCAAGGAAATTAAAATGGCATAAGACTATTCTGTACTCACCAAAGAATGTAGGAGGGGATGGAATAATGCTTTCCAAAGAACAATGGAGCTCAGAGTGCAGTCCAAAGTGACCTACCCTGCAAATATGAGTTTTATCACACATGAAAAAAAAAAGAGATGAATTTCAATAATGAGGCATCTGAAACTTTTTTAGAAAGAAAATCAGACTTGAATACATGATTTGCTTCTCAAACATTCCAAGCAACAGAAATGCAGGAGGAGTGAATAAATGTAACAGCTAAGGACACCAACAGAGTAACAGCAGAGACAGACCAGTAAGAGACTTCTTTCAAAATGTACATAAGGAAATAGGAGTGAAGACAGAAGTCCAGTGGCAGTAACAGTGAAAAAGTGGGCCACTGAACTTGGTGATGCCCTGACTACAGGTGAATGAATGTTTTTTGTGGAACTACTTTACAATATGGGAGTATACATTGAAAGGGTAATGGGAGTAGGACAACAGGGATCAATGTGTGTTGTGTCTGGGTCAAATCAAGAGTTACAATAAGGGGAAGGTGACATTTGTGATCTCAATAAGAGAAGAATCTGCAGGGGAGTAGGTGGGAGGGATGAAGATTGAAAAGATGTGGAAAGGAAGAAGGTCTTGATTTGGTGGTAGGAGGAGATTCTAGTGATGAATGCTCCTATTGCATGAAGAGAGATGGTCTGTGGAAGGACATAGGGACTTTGCACTGGTTATGATCTGTGGGATTTGGTGCTTGAAAACTCTACTCATCCTACCTTGGAAGGGGGAGAGTTGGAACTCCTGAGAGTAACTGGAACCTAAGAAAATGGGAAGGCATGGATCCAGGGGAGAGATTTTGAGGCAAATGGGTAATAAAAGTAACCAGAGAAAGGTATAGATTGGTTGTGGGCTACATAACTAGGGACATAGTGGAGGAAGGGGCCCTTCCACGGTCTTCTCTTACACCTGTGATACTCAGCATTATTCTGGGGGTGAAGCACCATAAAAAAGAAGAATATGGGGGCAAGCTCTAAAAGGCAATGCCAGAAATGACCCAGAAGGGAAAGACTAGGATAAATACCTTGGAAATTGAGAAGCATTAGAAAATCACAGAGGTCATAAATCATAGAATAAGGGCTAGAAGATAGAGAAAGGATAATGAAGAGAGTGAGAGAAATCCTTTTTGGGAAAGGGTACAAAAATAAATTTTAAAAACTAATGAACAAGACTAGGTGAAGGAGAGGTTAGGAAGAGAGGGAAATCTACTTGACTACTGAGAGGGAAAATAGGGGGGGAAGAATTACATAATCAAATAAAAGCAGTAGTTAAAAGGAACTAATAAGCAAAATACCAAAGGGAAAGGGATAAGAAATGAGAAGATCAGGGGTGAAAGGAAGAGAGCCAGTAGAAACACAGCCATCTTTAAAAAGATTAAGGTAAAATTACTGAAGGAATATTGTATTATCTTGATAGCTAATGGAGGGGGGTGGGAATCATAACTTAAACAAAAAAAAAGTATTAGAAACAAATGGGGGAAAAGATAAACCTGTATCTATTGAGATGATCCTAATTTTAAATATGAATAGTTAATAATCCAATCAAATGAAAAAGTAACATACTGGATAAGAACACAAAACCCTATAATCCACTGTTGTTTACAAGAAACACATTAAAAAACAAAAACATACACAATATAAAATAGTGTATGGGGAAAAAATTTACTATGCAACAAGTGAATCCAAAAAAGCAGGAGTTACAATCAAGCTCTCTAACAAAGCAAAAACAAACATTTAAAAACAAATAAGTATAAATGAGGAAATTGCATTATGCAGAAAGGAATCAAAGGTAACAAACCAATACCAATAATGAACTTATATGCTCCAAAAGTTTTAGCATACAAATTCATAAAGGAAACATTTGAGCTTCAAGAAGACATAGATAGTAACACAATAGTGACAGGAGACTTCAATATCCCACTATCAGTTTTGGATAAATCTAACAGAAAGATAAACAAAAGGAAAATATGGACTGAATAAATATCTGGAAAAATGAGTTAAAAGACTTATGTCATCATCTAAATGGGATTGAAAAATAATTTCTTGATATTTCTCATACTTTTCAATAGAGCATCAACCTTTTACAAAAATTGACCACATACAAGGACACTGAGGTATAACAAACTAATATAATAAGGCAGAAATAGATAATACGTTGTTTATAGATAAACAATAAAATAATAAGCAATAAAATAATCATTGTTCAGGAACCACAAAAAAAAGACAAACCCAAATGGAGAGTTAAGAATTAAATTCTAAGTGATGAGAGGATCAAAGAACAAATCATAAAAAATAGAGACTATGTAAAAGAAAATGATAATGATGAAGAAACATGCCAAAATTTCAGGGATACACCTAAAGCAGTCCTCGGGGGCAAATTAATGAACTGAATAAACATTTTAAAAAATTAGAAAGTCAATGAATAAGCAAACTGGAAATAGGCACAAAACAGGAGATATTAAAAAGTAGAGGAGTAATAAATTGGAAACAAAAAACAAAAATGATTAATAGAACTAAAAGCTAGTTCTTTGAAAAAACTAATAAAATTGATAAACTCTTAGCTAATCTAATTAAAAAAGAAGACAGCAGAAAATCAAATCAATAAAATATCAAATAAGCAAGGTGAAATCACAACAAAAACAGAAGAAAAAATAATAATTATAACATATCATGCACAGTTATATGCTAACAAAACTCAGAATACAAACGATGAAGAGAAATACCTTAAAAAATATAAAATATCCAAACTGTCAGAAGACCAGATAGAAATCTTAAATAATCCAATCTCAGAAAAGGAAATAGATCTAGTTATAAAGGAACTAGCAAAAAAAAAAAAACTCCTGGTCCTAAAGGATTCATAGGAAAATTCTATCAAACTTAAAAAAAAACAATTAGCACCCATATTTCACACATTATTCTCAAAAATTGAGAAAGAAAACACTCTACCAGACTTCTTTTATGAGACAAATATAGTCCTAATACCTAAACCAGGTAAAGATAAAACATGGGAAAAAACTATATCATTAATAAATCATATTACCATCAATATACCATATTACCACAATATCAATATCATTAATAATGAATACTAGCTCAAAAAATTTAAACAACATCCTGTCAAACAGACTACAATGATTTATCCAAGAAATCATTCACTATGATGGGATTTATACCAGGGATGGAAAGAATGGTTCAACCATTCAACCAAAAACCCATGATCATCTCTACAGATGCAGAAAACACTTTTGACCAAGTACAACACTCTTTTATGCTTAAAAAAACCCCAAAACACCTTATAGGGACTAGAGACATAGAGGGACTTTTTTAATATCAAAAAGAGCATCTTAAAAACACTTAATGTTACTTATTAGAACCTTAATGTTACTTATTAGACTTTTTCACAATTTAACTGAAAATATTTTTACTCTGTTATTTTTATATTTGTCAAGTCCTTTCGTGGTCTTTTGGAGGTTAAAAATTTCCCAATGAAAGCACGCACTCCAGAAGAGCTGGAAGAACTGGAGACAGTTTTACGGCTAAGGAAGACTGAAGAAACTGAATATAAAGTATGGTTTTGAATATTTCTGTGATACATGATAGTTCAAGTCTTAATATAGATTTTAACTGAAATACAATGAAAGAGATGTATAGTGGAGAGCGAGCCTCAAAGTCTGGAAGACTTGAGGTTCAAATACTGCCTCTCACATAGACTGGCTATGTGATCTGGGGCAAGTCACATAACTTCTCAGTGATCTAAGAAACTCTAAGCCTCTAAAGTTATAGAGGTGATACCTTGTACTAGTAGAAAGTTTCCTTACTTGAGAAGTTTCTATACCAATAAAATCACAAGCTCAGTCCACATAATAATAACAGCTAACATTCACATAGAGTTTTAAGGTCTGCAAAGTGCTTTATATATGTTATTTCATTTGATCTTCACAATAACCTTGTGAAGCAGGCACTGTTATTATCCTTATTTTACAGTTGAATACACTGAAGCACCCAAAGGTTAAATGACTTTCCAGGTATTACACAGCTAGTAAGTATTTAAGGCTGAATTTGAATTAAGATCTTTTTGACTCCAGGTCCAATGTTTTATCTACTGTTCCACCTCGCTACAATATCCCTTCTAATGAATAATACACACTTGTAAAATATTCATGCCTGTCCTCCACATAAGAAGATAAATGAATATAGCACATGAGTCTTTAATTATTTCCATAGTTAACTCTCCTTATAATCAGACCAGTGGTTATACATTTTCAAGACAATTGGCTAAGTGTGGAATACATTTTGTTACTATGAAACAGTGTGTTTCTCTGTGCAAAACTCATTGGCCTATACAAGTCAGAATACATAGCCATGGTCTCATTGAAACTATTCTCTACTAGTTATTACAAAAGAATAAAGTCAGATCTGGAAACGTACCACACTTTTTGGTATAATGTAAGCTACTGAGAGGAGGTCAAGCACATTCCCTGTATAGTTTTCTAAAATATAAAATGAGATTAATATTTAATACCTACTGCTTGACTTAAATCAGTCACCATGTGAATTCCTATGTAAAATACAAACTAACAGGATTTATTTTTTCACGTTTAAGTAACAAGACCCACCTTAAAACATTTACATGGACAAGTTATTCTGCCAACCTAGTTCAAAGATAATATACTACTGAATACAATTTTTACTATTATCATTCATCTACAGTATACAGGTTTAATCTCTTTTGTAAGACTTTCCAGGTCTGCCTGCCATTCTGAATACAAATGTAAAGAGCAGAATTTAAAGTTTTAAAATGATTTTTGAAATAATTATGTTGTTGCCAGGTTGCCCCTTAGAAACATAATTAAGACTTAATAATTACTTAATAATGAATGTATTATGTTTTTCCATATAAAGCTACGGAAGGAAATTGTAGAAGTTCAATCCACGGCTTTAAGTAAAAAGGATCCTGAAGAGGAAGAGGAGGAGGAAGAGGAAGAAGAGAGAGAAAAAAAGAGAGAGAGCAACTTAATCAATTACTTACTTGGCAGCTTAAGTTCTGAGCTTGGTGCAGACACAAGTATGTTATATAACCAGTTAGAACTTCACACCAGAGAAGAGAAAATCAACCAGATTGTATTACTAAAGGTGAACTATTTTTATCTTCCAAATCAGTAAAGCTCTCTTGTAAAGTGCTTTCTTAAGCCCCTGACTAAATTATGATACAAATCAAATTATATCCTTTTATGTGTTCATAAATGTTGACACATACTGTAATTTAACTTATAGCCTCCTTTGTACTCCCCAACCATCCTTCCCCTAGGATTATCTCTACTGAGGGTACTCAGTACCCTATGGTACTCTACTGAGATACATAAGAGCATATTATAGTAGGGAGGAAAGGAATGAGCATTTATACAGTGCTGGGCATTGTGCTAACCACTTTACAAATATTCTTCTTTGATCTTCATAGCAACCCTGTGAGGTAGTGCTGTTATTATCCCCATTATTACAGTTGAGGAAACTGAGGCAAACAAAAGTTAAGTAAATTGCCCAGGGTCACACATCTAGTAAGTGTCTGAGGCTGGATTTGTACTCTGGTCTTCCTGATTCCAGGCTCAGTGCTCTATCCACTGTACCACCTAGCTGCCTCATATTAGTATCATAAATCATGTTAAACAGTTCTGGGACGCCATTATCACATCTCTGTCCTAAATTCCCTTCTCTCAAAAGAACTATTTCAATCTTAACATTAGACAGAAAGACAAGGTTCCAATGGTAAAAGAAAAAATTCCTTTTCCATACAAATATATTTTTGTCCTTTTCCCCCCAAACTACAAAATCTCACATGACAGGTAATAGACTATACCTAATTCAAACTCAACATACTGCTTTTTGATTGAAGGAAACTTTCAATTAAAAGCCAATCCAAGAGAGAAAAGTTTAGTATGGCAGCTATTAATCTTAGAGGAATGGGGAGCCATTGAAAGATCTTGAGCAGGAGAATGTATTTGACTCTTTAGATTTCAGAGCTGGAAATTACTCTGGAGATCATGTAGTTCAAATTTCTAATTCTATAGATGAGGAAATTGAAGTCCAGAGAATGAAGTGACTTGCTTAAGGTCCTAGTTAATAATAGAATAGAGATTTTCTCTCAATACAGTGCCTTTTCTATAGTATTATACTTAAAGCATTATCCTAAAAAGGATCCTGAAAAGATTTAAGTTGGTGATGATTTGCAGGATGGATTTAGAGTAGGGATAGAGTGAAAAATTGTTAAGACTATGGGATGATACTGGCAGTAAAGAAGTAACCTATCACATATATGATATTTCAGGACATTATTTACAACATCAAAACTGAATTTAATAAAGACTTTGATATTGTATATCAACAAAAAGAATTGGAAATAGCACGTGTGAATGAAAGAAATATACATATTCAAGGAATTATTACAGAATTAGATCTTGGGGAACAGATATGGCAACCAGTATTTGAAGACTGTGAGAAGCCAGAGAGGATTCTAGTTGTAGAAGATCACGAGGTAAGTCCTTTCCTTACTTTCTAAGGCTGCTTTCCTGTTTCCTTTTTGTACTTGTTTTCTTGGATTGATTGCTGACAGAGTTGAGAGAGAGAGAGTTTCACCTTTGGATATTGCCTTATAGTTTACAAATTTTCCTCACAATAATTTTATGTAGCAGTTTCAAGTACTCTACCCATTTTAAATAGAAAAATGAGACTCAGGGAAGGTAAGTGTCTTGCGCATAGCCATTTCAATAATCTAGGGGCTCAGGGATCAATGGTTCTTATCTTTCCTTCTCAAAGAGGACCAAAATGACTTCACTATGTTACAGTCCAGTTACACTGTGTCTGACTGTGGCTGATCAGACCAATACGAGCTCAGAATGCTCTACCACAGGTCAGGCACAAATAGTCCATGTGAACATTTGGGGAGGATTCTCTAAATTTGTGTATCTCATGGTTCTTTTGAGCTACTTCAGCTCTGCTTTGCGCAGAGAGCACAGTGCCTTCTTTGAAGCAGGCATGCCATGATGGACAGTCCTTTGCCAGTGTCTCACATGTCTCATAATCAATTCCAAAGTTCTTAAGAGAGAACTTGAGAATGTCCTTGTATCGCTTCATCATGTGAGTGCTTGCCTTATATGAGTTCTCTGTAAAATAACCTTTTACGCAAGCATATGTTTGGCATTTGAACAACATGGCCAGCCCATTGGAAATAATGCATTAAACAAGTAGCTCTGTTACCGTGGCAAGTGTTACCTCACAGAAACAGGCCATTATAAATAGGTGATTGGGGTAGTTAAATGGGAATGTGCCCTACAGGATATTTATACAGGGATCCAGGAAATGGGTAGAAGGTTTATGGCCTTACACTTTCTGTCATCAGATAATTTATAATTGCTTCAGTTCAAGATGTTTACCAAGATTACATAAAGGTACTGAGATGAATGAAATTAAATAGGGAGATTCCTTGTGACATTCTGTCACCAGATAATTGAGGGCTACTTCAGTAGTGGAGTTGGGTCCTGAACCTATCTTCTGACTGGGTTCAGTGTTCATTTCAGTACACCATGCTGGTTCTCATTAAATGGAATTAAAATACTATGACCATATTTCTTTAGAAAATGCAAAGTGTTATAGCATGCCCAGAAAAATCTACTTGCTCATTCATTTGTATAAGGAACTCCTATATCAATCTGAGTTTTTATTCCATTTGAGAATTTCCCAGATGAGGAAACTTCCTTTGCCAATGCAGGTGCAGCACCTTCTATGACATGTATAGTCACAAGAGCTGCCTCCTAGTACACTGAGAAATGATGTGGCTCACCTGGGTATGGGGCCAGTATTTGTTAGCAGCAGGAACTAAAGCCAACTTTCCCAGGCTACAAGACTGGATCTACCCACTACACCATGCTGCCTCATACTCGCTGCTATTAAATTAAATTACTTAATTCTACCACCAAAACATATGCTTAGTAGGAGTACTGAGGTGAATTTATTTTTGAGCTCAACTCTTCCCTGTGAGTTCAGAAAGATGCCTGAAATATAGCTTCTGAAGGGTGGAGAGGAGAAAATTTCTCTTACAATCTCACTTCCATTTATTCACCTTTGTAGCTGCCCAGAAGGATGTGAGTAACCAAAGGAACATTTATTTGAAATCAGAAGACCTCAATTCTAATCCTGCCACTCTACTGGGCAACTCATCCAACTTTTATGAGCCTCATTTTCCTCATCTATAAAATGGGGATAATACACAGAGTTTTTGTGAGGCTCAAGTGAGATAACATAGGTGAAAGTACTTTAGAAGCTATAAAGTACTATATTAACGTAAGATACATTCATTAAAAAACAGTACAGTGAATATAAGAATTTATACCCTACATAGACCAACATCTCATTTGATATACCAAGATAAGATCAAAATGGGTACATGATTTAGACATATAGGGCAATACAATAAGCAAATTGGCGGATCATGGAATAGTTTATCTGTCAGATCTATGGATAAGGGAAGAATTTATGAACAAATGAGAGATGGAGAGCATTACAGGATGTAAAATGTATAATTTTTATTACATTAAATTAAAATTTTCATTTGCAAAAATGAAACCAATGAAACCAAGATTAGAAGGAAAGCAGAAAACTGGGGGAAATTTTATAGCAGGTTTCTCTGAAAAAGGCCTCATTTCTCAACTATATAGAGAACTGAGTCAAATTTATAAAATTATGAGTCATTCCCCAATTGATAAATGGTCAAAGGATATGAACTGGCAATTTTCAAATGAAAAAATCAAATTATCTATAGTCATTTGAAAAAATGCTCTCAATCACTATAGATTAGAGAAATGCAAGTTAAAACAACAAAACCACTTGACACTTATCAGATTGGGTAATATTACAGAAAAGAAAAATGACGAATGTTGAAGGAGATGTGGGAAATTTGAGACACTAATGAACTGTTAGTGGAGTTGGGAATTGGCCCAACCATTCTGGAGAACAATTTGGAACTATCCGGAAAGGGCTATAAAATGGTGCATACCCTTTTACTCAGCAATACCACTACTACGTCTGTGACCTTTCTAAAAAGGCTGGTTTCACATTAGGCCATGCTTTCATGACAAAGTGTTAAGATCTATATGTGCTGGAGTGATGCTGCCTTGTATCATAGATAAGGATATAGATACATAGATAGATATATAGTATGGTATTGAATCAAGAAAGGGTAATTATCCTCCCTTTAGTAGTTATTCCAGAAAAATCTCTAAATAGGTTTCTACAGATATATATATATATATATATGTATATATATATATATATATAACAGGGTCTATAGCTTCTATATAAGAATTCAAGTTAGCAAATGCAAATCAGGTATGTTACAGCCTTTTTTCTCCTGCACAGAAAACAAGAAAGATAAAAAGAATTTATAGAAGCCCATAAACAGATACAGAAACACATAAAGCACTCACATCATTAATTGGCTCCCCTTAGAAGGGACCTGAACTTGGGGTTGCTATTCAGATAACCCTTTGACATTATGGTGGATCTTTAGCCTTTCCACAAGTTAAATCTGTTGTCTTTGAATCTTTTGAGAAATATGGACAAAAAAGAAGTTGAAATTTTTGCTTTTCAGATTAAAGTTCAAAGAATCCTTACCCCATGGGAAAAAGAACAAGCAGCATTAACTGAAGCTCTTGAACGGGAAAGACGTCGTTTAAGTCAGGTATTATGTTAAAAACTAAATCTAGATATATATTTATATAAATACATTTGTTCTTAAAAACAAAATCTAGATATGTATTTATATAAATACATTTGTTCTTACATTTAGTAGTTGTATTTTTACATTATATTACAGAAACATGTTCCTTTGTAATCAATGAGAAACATTTAGGGAAGAGTCTAATTACAAACACACACACATATACACATATACACATACATGCCCTCTGCCATCACCATCATTACCATTATAGGTTCATTTTCCTGCCTGTTCCTGACATCTTCCCAACAACATTTTAGATCTGTGGTCTTGGGTGATGCTGATAGAGCCTGAACACTTCAACCTCCAGCTACCATTTCCTCTAACTTTGGGTTATTTTTCCAGAGGGATGATGTAAGACGTCGAGCTTTGATGGACATGATGGGTGGAGTTCTAGAAGTCAAGAAAGAAGATATTTTGAAGATGGTAATGGTTTTATTTAACATTGGAAAGTAGAATAGGAAGGATGAAAGTGAGAAAAATATGTAATTTACCATTTTCCTAGATAAGCCAGAGTTTTAGGAAATTCTTCAAAAGCAAACATTCCTTGGTAGAGACTTCATTTCTCAAATACATAGGGAACTGAGCCAAATTTATAAGAATACGAGTCATTCCTCAATTGATAAATAGTCAAAGAATATGAACAGGCAGTTTTCAGAAGAAGATATCAAAGCTATCAATAGTTACATGAAAAAATTATCTAAATCACTATTGGTTAGAGATATATAAAAATTAAAACAACTCTGAGGTACCACCTCACACCTATCAAATTGGCTAACATGACAGAAAAAGAAAATTACAAATGTTGGAGAGGATGTGAAAAAATAGGGATACACTCATTGTTGATGGACTTGTGAACTTATGTGACCATTCTAGAGAACAATTTACAACTATGCCCAAAGGGCTATTAAACTGTGCTTACTCTTTGACTCAGCAATACTACTATTAGGTCTGTATCACAAGGAGATCAAAGAAAAGGGAAAAGGATCCATATGTACAAAAACATTTCTAACATATCTTTTTATGGTGGCAAAGAAATGGAAACTGAGGGGATACCCATCATTTGGGGAATGGCTGAGCAAGTTCTGTTGTATGATTGTGATGGAATACTATTGTGTTGTAAGAAATGATGAAGGGGATGGTTTCAGATAAACTTGGGAAGACCTATATGAGCTGATACAAAGTGAAGTGAGAAGAGCCAGGGGATCATTGTACATAGGAAAAGCAATATTGTAATGATGATCAACTGTGAAAGACTTAGCTACTCCAATCAATATGATGATCCAAGACAACTTCAAAGGGCTCATGATGAAAAATACTATCCATCTCTAGAAAGAGAACTGATGAATTCTGAGTGCAAATTGAAGTATAATTTTTTAACTTTTTTTTCATGCCGTTTTTTGCAATATGTCTAATAGGGAAATATGTTTTGCATGATTTCACTTATATAATTGCTATCATACTGCTTGTGTTCTCAATGGAAGAGAGAGGAGCTGGAGGAAGGGAAAAATTTGGAACTCAAAATTTTAAAAAATGAATATTAAAAATAAATAAATTGGGGGAAAAGAATAAATTATTTTAAAAAAACATTCCTTTAAAACTTAGTAACTTCAACCATGTTCACCAAACACAAAGGAATATGAAACTTCAAGCACTGATTTTCAAACTAATATAAAAAATTTTTTAACAAAAAGAGGCATATGTGTTTTATCAGCAATAAGGAAAGTTGCACTAATAATTTTCCATTGGTGCTACTTAAAATTCCCTTTGAAACTTGACTTTTTGTCAGTATAACTAAGTTCTGGGCCATTTTACCTGCCTCCCCCAGCAACAGAAATTGGCTTTTTGTTGTTACCAATTTTTTTCTTACTGCTTTAATGACACTGTCAATGTGCCATGTTTAGAAGATTGTGTGCTTCTCTTTTTTATCTTTAGGTAATTCCTCAGCCTGCCTGTATGGCTAAACCTGATACTCTATGGACTGAAGAAGAAAAGAAAATAATCAAAGAATATGAGAAAAAAGTCAAAGATTTAAATGAGGAAAGAGAGAAATACAAAAAGGTCAGGAGGAAGAAGAAGAAATTAGAAATATATATATATATATTTTTATAATAGCCTTCCAAATTGCAAATTCTTGTGACTTTGGAGTGAACTTCAGTACTCTAGAGATAGTTGAATAACTTTAAAAATTATTAAATTTAACAACTTAGATTATTCACAACAAATTGACCCAAAAACTTTATAGCAAAAGCTAGGAAAATCAAATAATGCTTATTTCATTGTATCTACTTCTGCTCTTAGTGGACGGGGTGGGGGAAGAGTAATATACCTTAAGACAAGCGAAGAAATTCAGTAAACTCTGAGTCAAGCACTCTATATGGTTTGAATTTAAAGTTTTTTTTTTTGCAATGCAAATGCCACTGGTTTTATTTCCTTCCTTCCATATGAAATACATATGCTAACAATGAAAGAGTTTAATATAGAATTCCAGAAGTTGGTTACAACAGAAATAATAGCATGTATGCATTCTTTTGTGAAAGTAGTAAAATAATGAAGTATCCAGAAGGGTATGCAGGCTTGTCAGCCCAATGCTGTTGCATATTAGGTACAACTTCTCTGAGCCTTATTTTTCATCCATATTTTTTTCCTTCTGAGGTTCTTAACAGTTACTTTGATGTATTTGATCATAAGATGATGTTTGTAATGAAACTGAAAATAAACAAGAGTTCCGGGCTACAGTGATGACTGAAAGAGTGAGAGTCTAAATGCTCCTCTCGCTCCCGCAAAAAATGGAGGCAGTTAACATGACATATCTAGTGGGTGTTTAAAAGTCCTTGTTTTGGCGGCATTCTAAATAGCCTTGACTCTTGCAAGATAAAGTCATATGTTTCACTAGTTCACCACTAGTTTTTAATGTTTATTAACTTGGCATCAATACCTCAATAGAAACTTTCATACTCAGAATTGTAGTTGTACTTAGGTACATTTGAAGAAAAAGAGTATTTCCCAGTTTGATATGATAGAAAGCTAATTACATAGAGACATAGAGAACTTTCCAACCTCAGAAACTGAAATCTCTAGAAATTCACTGAAGAATACTGTTCTTTTTCTTTCTGTGAATCTTTTCTAAGTCACAATGCTACTTAAATCCAGAAGTAAAAGAACTGAAACCTCTCTATGTGAGTACCCAAAAACAAGCTATGGGTTTTTCTGAGTTTTATGAGCAATAAAACTTATACCTTGAAATTGAAAAAAATAACTATCAGCCCATCCATTTCTTGCTGTGCTTTTTCCTAATGGAGGCATAGGCAGTTTAAAAAATCCATTCAGGGTAAATTCTTACTTCCTTTGATAGAGGAGATATTTGTAAGGTTACAGAAGAATTTGAAATCATATTTGCCATGTGAATTATCTTTTTATAGTGTTTTATTTTTTCCCAATTACATGTTAAGAAATTTTGACTTCCAAATTTTTCCCTCCCTCCCTCCCCTCCCCTTTTCTGAAAATGGTAGACAGTTTGATATAGTTTATATATGTACTATCAGGTAAAAAATATTTCCATATTAGGCACAGTTGTGAAAGACAAAGCAGATATTTTAAAAACCATGAGAAAGAATAAAGTAAGTGAAAAAAATATGCTTCAATCTGCATTCGGAGTCCATCAGTTCTTTATCTGGATATGGATAGCATTTTCCTTCATGAGTGCTTGTACTTGTCTTAGATCATTGTGCTGCTGAGAAGAGATGAGTCATTCATAGTTGATCATCACACAATGTTGCTGATACTATATACAATGTTTTCCTGGTTCTACTGATTTCACTTTGCATCAGTTCATACAAGTCTTTCCAGGTTTTTCTAAAATCCACCTGTTCATCATTTCTTATTGCACAATAGTATTCCATTACATTCATATACCAGTTTGTTCAACCATTATCCAATTGATGGGCATCCCCTCAATTTCCAATATTTTGCCATTATGAAAAGGGCTGCTATAAATATTTTGTACATGTAGGTCCTTTTCCCTTTTTTATGATCTCTTTGGGATACAGACCTAGAAGTGGTATTGCTGGATCAAAGAGTATGAACAGTTTGGTTGTCCTTTGGTCATAATTCCAAATTGCTCTCCAGAATAGTTCGATCAATTCACAACTCCAAAGATAGTGCATCAATTTTTTTTCCTCATATCCTCTCCAACAATTTTTTATTTTCCTTTTTTGTCATATTAGCCAAAGTGATATGTGTGAGGTGGTACCTCAGAGATGTTTTAATTTGTATTTCTCTAATCAAAAGTGATTTAGAGCATTTCTTCACGTGCCTACAGATAACTTTGATTTCTTCATCTGAAAACTGCCTGTTCATATCCTTTGACCATTTATCAATTGGGGAATAGCTTGTATTCTTATAAATTTGACTCCATTATTGACATATTTGAGAAATGAGGCCTTTATCAGAGACACTGACAGTAGAGACTGTTTCCCGTCTTTCTGCTTTTTTTCTAATCTTGGTTGCATTGGTTTTGTTTGTACAAAAGCTTTTTAAATTTAATATGATCAAAATTATCTATTTTACATTTTGTAATGCTCTCTGTCTTTTGTTTGGTCATGAATTCTTCCCCTCCCCATAGATATGACAGGTAGACTATTCCTTGCTCTTCTAATTTGCTTATGGTGTCACCCTTTATGTCTAAATTATGCACTCATTTTGACTTTATCTTGGTATATAGTGTGAGATGTTGCTCTATAAATAGTTTGTGTCCTATTGTTTTCCAGTTTTCCCAGCAGCTTTTGTCAAATAGTGAGTTCTTTTTCCAAAAGCTGGGGTCTTTGGGTTTATCAAACACTAGTCATTTGCTATTGTGTCTTATGTACCTAATCTTTTCCACTGATCCACCACTCTTATTTCTTAGCCAGTACTAGACAGTTTTGATGATTACTTCTTTATGATATAGTTTGAGATCTAGTATTGCTAGGCCTCCTTTCTTTATATTTTTTATTAATTCCCTTGATATTCTTGACCTTTCGTTCTTCCAGATGAATTTCATTATTCTTCTAGCTCTATAAAATTTTTTTTGGTAGTTTGATTGGTATGGCACTGAATAGGTAAATCAGTTTAGGCAGAATTGTTATTTTTATTATATTGCCTCAGTCTACTGATGAGCAATTGATTTTTTTTCCAATTGTTCAAACCTGACTTTGTGTGAAAAGTGTTTCGTGATTATATTCATATGGTTCCTGGGTTTGTACTGGCAGGTAGACACCTAAGTATTTTATATTGTTTACAGTTATTTTAATTGGAATTTTTCTTTCTATCTCTTCCTGCTGGGCTTTATTGGTCATATAGAGAAATGCTCATGATTTATGTGGGTTTATCTTATATCCTGCAACTTTGCTAAAGTCATTAATTATTTCAAGTAATTTTTTAGTTGATGCTCTAGGGTTCTCTAAGTTTACCATCATATCATCTGCAAGGAGTGATAGTTTTGTCTCCTCTGTGCCTATTCTAATTCCTTCAATTTATTTTTCTTCTCTTATAGCTATAGCTAACATTTCTAGGACTACATTGAATAATAGTTGTGATAATGGGCATCCTGATCTTATTGGGAAGGCATCATCTAGTTTATCTCCCTTACAGATAATGCTTGCTGATGCTTTTAGATAAATACTGCTTAATATTTTAAGGAATACTCCCTTTATTGCTATGCTGTCTAATGTTTTTAAAAGAAATGGGTGCTGTATTTTGTCAAAAGATTTTTAAGCACCTATTGAGATAATCATATGATTTCTGTTAGTTTTGTCATTGATACGGTCAATTGTATTGATAGTTTTCCCAATATTGAACCAACCCTGTATTCCTGGTATAAATCCCACCTGGTTGTGGTCTAAAATCCTTGTGATATATTACTGTAATCTTGCTAGTATTTTGTTCAAAATTTTTGCATTGATATTCATTAGGAAAATTGGTATATAGTTTTCTTTCTCTGTTTTAGCTCCTCCTGGTTTCAGTATCAGCACCATATCTATGTCATAAAAGGAGGTTGGCAGGACTCCTTTTTCGCCTATTTTTCCAAATAGTTTATATAGTATTGGAATTAATCATTCTTTAAATATTTGGTAGAATTCACTCATGAACCCATCTAGCCTTGGGGATTTTTTCCCCGAGGGAATTCATTAACGACTTGTTCAATTTCTTTTTCTAAGATGGGGTTATTTAGGCATTCTATTTCCTAATCTGTTAATCTAGGTAATTTATATTTATTTTTGTAAATATTCATCCATTTCACTCAGATTGCCAGACTTATTGACATATAATTGGGTAAAATAGCTCCTAATTATTGCTTTAATTTCTTCTTCATTGATGGTGATTTCACCCTTTTCATTTTTTATACTGGATATTTGGTTTTCTTCTTTCTTTTTTTTAAATCAAATTAACCAACTACTTACCTATCTTATTGTTTGGGTTTTGTTTGTTTGTTGGGTTTTTTTTAAAAAGCAGCTCCCAGATTTATTTGCTAGATCAATAGTTTTCTTATTTTCAATCTTATTAATCTCACGTTCGATTTTCAGAGTTTCCAATTTGGTGCTTAATTGGGGATTTTTAATTTGTTCTTTTTCTAGTTTTTTTTAGTTGCATGCCCAATTCATTGATCTATTCTTTTTTCATTTTTTTGATACAAGAATTTAGAGAAATAAATTTCCCCTAAGTACTGCTTTGGCTGCATCCCATAAATTTTGGCATGTTGTCTCATTGTGTCATTCTCTTTAATGAAATTATTGTTTTTGTGATTTTTTGGATCCACTTATTCTTTAGGATTAGATTATTTAGTTTCCAATTAATTTTTAATCTATATTTCCACTGCCCTTTATTGAATGTAATTTTTATTGCATTGCGATCCAAAAAATATTTACTATTTCTGCCTTTTTACATTTGATTTTGAGATTTTTACATGGTCAATTTATGTGGTCAATATTTGTATAGGTACTATATGCTGTTGAGAAAAAAATGTATATTCCTTTCTGTTCCCATTCAGTTTTCTCCAAAGGTCTGTCATATCTAACTTTTCTAATATTCTATTTACCTCCTTGGTTTTTTTCTTGTTTATTTTTTGGTTGGATTTATTGAGTTCTGAGATAGGACAGTTGAGGTCCCCTACTGGTATAATTTTGCTTTCTATTTCTTCCTATAAACTCACTTAACTTCTCCTTTATATCATCCTTTAGATGATATACCACTTGGTGCATATATGTTTAGTATTGCTATTGCTTCATTTTCTATGGTACCTTTTAGCAAGATGTAGTTTCCTTCTTTATCTCTTTTAGTTAGATCTATTTTTGCTTTTACTTTGTGTGAGATCAGGATTGCTTCTCCTGCTTTTTTTTTTTTTACTTCAGCTGAAACATAATAGATTCTTCTCCAGCCTCTTACCTTTACTCTGTGTCTGTCTCTCTGCTTCAAATGTGAAAGTTCATCCCATCACATTCACAGTTATGATTACTAACTGTGTATTTCCCTCCATCCTATTCTTCCTGTTTGATCTCTCTCCTTTCACCATTTCCTTCCTCACCAGTGTTTTGCTTCTGTCTACAACCTCCTCTGATCTGCCCTTCCTTCCATTAGTCCCCTTCCCTTACTTGATCTCTTCCCCTCCTACTTCCCTGCTGGGTAAGATAGATTTCTATATTCAACTGATTGTGTATATTATTCTCTCCTTTAGTCAATGCTGATGAGAGTAAGGTTCAAGCGATACTCATTACCAGCCTCTCATTTCTCCCTCCATTGTAACGTCTTCAGTGCCTTTTCATGTGAAATAATTTATCCCATTCTACTCCCTTCCTTCTACACCCAGTGTACTCCTCTTTCTCATCCCTTGAATTTTTTTATGTCATTCTCTCAAGTTCACCTTATATCCATATCCTCTGTCTATGTGTATTCATTTGAGCTGTACTGTTAACGCTACAATTTTTAAAAATTACAAGTATCATCTTCCTACGTAGGGATATAAATAGTTTAGTTCTTTTGAATCTCTTATGTTTTCTTTTCCTTTTTTACCTGTTTATGCTTCTCTTGAGTCTTGATATTTGAGGTCAAATTTTTGGTTTAGTTTTGGTCTTATCCTTATGAAAGCTTGAAATCCCTCTATTTCATTGAATGATCATTTTCCCCCTGATGTATTATGCTTAACTTCACCAGTGATTCTTGGTTGTAGTCCTAGCTCCTTTGTCTTCCAGAATATCATGTTCCATGACCCCCAATCCTTTAATGTTGCAGCTGCCCAGTCCTATGTGATACTGATTGTGGCTCCCCAATATTTGAATTGTTTCTTTCTGACCACTTGTAGGATTTTTTTCTTGACCTAATAGTTCTGAAATTTGGCTTTTGAGAGGTGATCAGTAGATTCTTTTAGTGCCTATTTTGCCCTCTGGTTCCAGGACATCAGGGCAGTTTTCCTTGATAATTTCTTGAAAGATGCTGTTCAGGTCCTCCTTTTGATTATGGCTTTCAAGTAGTCCAATGATTCTGATATTATTTCTCCTGGATCTATTTTCCAGGTCAGCTGTTTTTCCCATGAGGTATTTTACATTTTATTCCATTTTTTCATTCTTTTGATTTTGTTTGATTGATTCTTGATATCTCATAGAGTCGTTAGCGTCCACTTGCCCAGTTCTAACTTTTAAGGAGTTGTTTTCCTCAATTAGCTTTTGTACTTTCTTTTCTATTCAGCCAATTGTATTCTTTAAGTTTGTGTCTTGGTCTTCCCTTCCACCATAATAATTTTCTATGGTCAGCTTCTTTTTTTGTTGTTTTTTGCTCATCTTTTTTTTTTTTAACCTTTTTCCTTTCTTTTAAATTAGATCTCTGCTCCCAGGGTGGAAAAGGCTCTATCTTAGGCTTCTTGTGCCAGTGGCGGCATGTTGGCTATTTACCTGGTGCTGTACTGATGTTGCCCTGAGGCCCATGGGGAACCCTCATATCTGGTGCTGTGTTGAGGGGGTGGCATAGGGGTTGGCAGGCGCTGCTGGAGGCCATAGGGAGCTTACCTAGTGTTGAGCGGGGGTCCTAGTGGTGGTGTCTGCCATATGCTGAGTTCCAGTGGGTTTTTTTCTGCATTTCCCTGGGGCTACACTGAAGTCCATGGAGGTCTGGCCCTTGGAGGATGCCTATTTTCCCTGGGCTATGCTGAAGCATGTGGTAATTCTCGGAGCTGGAGTGTGCCAGTTCCCTTAGCTATGCTAAGGCACATGAGGGGTCCTGGTATTGGCATTTGCCTGTTCCACCACAGTGGGGCTCAGGCTCTTCCACTGGTTTGTTGAGCCTCCGCTCCTATACTGTGCTCCTCTTTTACCTAAATGAGGCAAACCTTTTTTGCTGATTCTCCAAGTCTTCTGGGCTAAAAGGCCACTCCACCCTGTCTTTACACTGTCTCCACTGTTCAAGAATTTGTTCTGGAGAGTTATTTTATGATTGTTTGGAGGTGAATAAGGGAGAGCTACAGAGAGTTACTGCTTACTATGCCATTGTGGCAAAATGGATGGACACCCTGTGGCAAACTTACGGGAGGACATGGATAGTTGCACAGAATAAGTGAGTATGTATGATGAGTTGGGATCTGCATCACTGCGAACAATACTCAAATTGATGAGATCACTTCCTTTTGAGTAACCACACTTTTAAAACTCACCATAATTGGTCTGTAGCTTTATAAAAGCAACACCTCTGTTTTTATATATGTCTTGGCCATTTATTCACTTAATGGTGCCCAGTTCTTTACTAGGCTTGCCAGAACTTTTAAAGATATTTTATTTCTTGTCCTAAAGGAACTTATGAGCTAGATAGAATGACAGAACATTTCAACATGAAACAACAAGGAATCATTACAAAGCATCTTATGAATTAATGCAATATATTTATATGCACATATGTATGTGTAACTTTTTCATAAAGACCAAAAAGCTTATCAAAAATGGTTCATTAAATAAGATGAAATGACTTTTTGACCTTTGTTTCCCCATCACTTAGCGCATAGTAGACACTTAATAAATATTTGCTGATAACCTGAAAATACAGTATATATGTGAGCACTTTGCAAATTGTAAAGCTATAAAACTTGTTATATTATTTCTTTGAGAAAAAAAAAATCAGACAATCCAGGCCAAAGGCTGTCCTTAGTGATGCTCACTTATCCCTATGGTAGTAAAGTTAACATTGTCCATTTGAGAGACTGAGCTGAAGTTGACTATGACAGGCTCTTCTTATTATCTTGTGACAAATAAATTCCTAAAAGTTAACTTTACTGGTGTCTTATTTTAGTCATTGGATGCTGAATTAAGGAAGCTTCAAAACTCTATTGAAGAAACAACACAAATTTTTGATGGTCATCTGGGAAGACTGTTTCAAAGGAAGGTGAAATGTGATATGGTTATAAACCAGGTAAAGTAAAAGCTCATTAATGTAAGCCTCAACCAAGGATGGGGAATCTTGAACCTTAACTACATGTAGTTATGATACACTGACTTAATTCCTTTCACCCAGATTTCTGAGACAGAGTAATGAGCAGTAATTTATTTTTTAAAAAATTTAACTAAGTGCCTACTATGTACAAGGCACTATACTAGATGCTGAGAATACAAAGGCATGGCTAAAATAGTCCCTGCTCTTAAAGAACTTAAATTATACTGGCATAATGCAACATGTACATGGATAAGTAAATACTAAGTAACTGAGAATGGAGACAGAACTGATAGTTAAGGGGAACAGGAAAGGATTTCAATAGGAAGAGGCTCTTGAGCTGAACCTTGAAGGAAAGTAGTTATTCTAAAAGATAAAGGTGAGAAAGGGGCTTAATTCCAAGCTTAGGAGACAGGCCATGCAAAGTCAAAGAAAAGAGAAAAGGAATGCTTAACTTCAGGAAACAAATAGGTGGCTGGTTTCACCAGATCACAGAGTATGTGGAAGATAATATGGAATAAGTTTAGAATTACCTGACAGTCAGGCTATGAATGGCCTTAAAATCCAAGGTAAGGAATTATATTTTATCCTGGAGACAAGAGGGAGCCATTTTTGAGGAATTAAGTGACATTCTCAGACCTGTACTTTAGGAAGATTATTTTGGCATTTGTGAAGAAGATGGATTGGAAAGGAGAGCGCCTGAAAGTGGGAAGAAAAATTAAGAAATTATTATAATAGTTCAGCAAAATGGGAATAAGTCATATATCATGGTGGTAGCTGTGAGTAGAGGAAAAGGCAGTGATTTTTTAAAAACACTATTGTGGAGGTAGAAATTGCAAGACTTGGCATTAGATTTGATTAAAAATAGGGGTTGAGAGATAGGGAAAAGTCAAGTGACTCCAAGGTTGTAAACAAAATGACTAGGAAGATGAAAATAGCCTCAGTAGAGACAGGAAGTTTGGAGACGGGACAGATTAGGAGAAAAGATAAGTTCTGTCTCGGAAAAGTTGACTTTGAGACATTTATGGGGTATTCAGGTGGAGATAGCCAGCAAGTAGTTGGTGATACAGGGTTATAGTTCAGGAAAGGTATTATGCCTGGATATATAGATTTAAGAGTCATTTTTTGTAGAAATGATAGCTGGAATCATGGGAATTAATGAGACCAAATAAGAGTGTGTGCATATATGTGTGTGTATATATATATATATATATATATATATATGTACATAGAGAGGAAGAGAAGAGAAGAGAAGAGAAGAGAAGAGAAGAGAAGAGAAGAGA